CCTCGTATCGATGACTTATTTGATCAGCTTAGAGGATCCATTGTGTTCTCTAAGATTGACTTACGGTCAGGATACTGTTAAATCCTTGTTATGGAAGATGGACAAANCCGGGAAAGCTTTAGCAAACTCTAGTTTGTCTAAAAGCTCGTCAACAAAGAAAGAAGAAATAAAAAGTTTCCTCTGACTAGAAGCCATGAAGTTCTGTCTCACTGCATCGTCTAAGAATTTGAGAAGGTTATTGAAATAACCGTCAATGTTTAAAAGACCAATGGGTCTATTGTGTAACCCTTCAGAAGCCCACGAGATCAAGGTAAACAAACCTTCCATAGTGTCAACTCCTCCAGGAAGAACAATGAAAGCTTCCACGGCATGATTCATCTCAAAATATTTGTAGTAATTGCTGGAAACTGTGTGCTCTACACCGTACGTAGGTCCATAGACCCGTCGTGTTGCGATGTACCCAGGAATGAAACCTCTAACGAGACCACCATTGGTAAAGACTGTTGAAGCAACAGCTCCTTGTAGGCCAACGTTGCCTCCTCCATAAGCAAGACTAATTCTTCGTCTTAACAATTCCCTTCCTAAATCTACCGCAGTAGCCATAAACTTTGGATTTCTACCAAGAGAATGACTTCCAAGTAGACCAACGAATCTTATGGTGTAAGGAAGTGTTCGAGAAGTTCCTTCCATAATGTGAGAATGTGAGATACTCTTTCAATAATCGTGATATATATAGTCTTTGAAACCTGACCATGGATGGAAAGGTAATTATCACCAGCCAAAATATGTACAGTAAATGGACTCAAACTACCTGCATACGAGAACGTACTCGCTAATGCTATAGTCTGCTGACGATATGACGTGTTGAGACTCTTGAACAGTTAGATTCGTTGTCCTAAAACACGTTCAAATCCGAGACGAAAAGTCAAAATGACTATTTCTAAGACATCGAACCCTTGAGTAATTTCCAAAGAGTGAAACATCGAAAGAAGAAAATCTACGATTTGTAACGGCAATTCATAAACGCTATCTTTATATCTCGTGACTCGTATCCTTGAATTACTCAAGCTTGATGTGTTAAATACACTCTTGAAACATCTCGCTTGATCAATCTTGAAAAGATTGAATTCCATTGTTGTATCAAAATATTAAACCCTTGGGAACTTGTCTTAATTCATCAAGATACGTTATACCGATCTTTGAAAAACTACACTCTGTGAACTACGGTAAAAGCATTCTGATTGGAATATTATGTTGAGCCTCTCTTTGTGAACCACAAAATGGTTGATGCGATTACGTTATCTCTGAAGATTATTATCGATGATCTCATTTGACCAAACAAACTCCGTTATGATCCTACTAAGGGAATGTATGTGCAACAACCAGAGAAGAAGTGACGCCACAAGGATCAAGCTGAATCATTCAAGTGAAGATTCCGAACCTATATGCGATGTTGGTGTAAGAACTAGTAAAGATTCCTCACTCTATGAATTCATGAATTGAATCACGCACTGAAGATATTATCTTCTTCACTCGAAATGAAATCAACCATAGTGTTACATCAAACCTGTCATTATCAAGAATGTATCTGGATATATTCCAAACTCGATGAAGAAAGTTGAATACGACAAGACGTATATGAAACCCACTCTAACGTTATCACCTGTGGATACGAATTAATGCAAAGACTCATTAACGATAATGAGATCTACCATGAAGTAAACGAAGGAATGTTTTGGTATAAGGTCGATAAATGACAAGCTATTGTACAACGAGTAGTACCTCCTCATAATTCATGATAAATCCCATACCCTGAAAATCTTGGATCACGAAAAGCCATTTGATGTTACTTACAAATCATTCTGAACTATATGAATAATGTGAAGATGTCTTGAATGACTTGGATGATTTTGCTAAAACGTATGGATTGAAACAACCTCGGAATCTCCTACTACATCTATTGTGATTCAAAACTACAAATGCTGCTAAGGGACTTTCAATCAAAGAAAGAATGTTGTTGACTAATGACATACAATCGAGATTTGTGAATAAACGAAATAATGTACAAATATGTCTAGTATGATCCCAAATACGATGTTGTACCTTGCAAAGGAACTTAAGTTATGGATTGTTGGATGCCTTGCCTATTAATCTCTTGGAGAAAGAACGAGTTTGATAACATCGACAGTTTGAGAATACGTATCCGTTTGGACAATGAG